TGTGTGTGTGTGTGTGTGAGTGTGTGGTCCTGGTTTTTCTCACATTATGGGGACTTTTCTTTCTTTGGGGGAGTTAAGTTTAGGTGTTGGTTTAAGCTAAGGTTAGGGAAAGTGTTCGGCAAGTAGTAACTATGGTCAACATTAGAGCTAGTCTCCAGGAAGTCAATGTAAGCAGCTACCCTGCAGGTGTTGTAGGAACTTCAGATTCTTACCCAGAAACACTTGAGGAGCTTGTTTGCGGAATCAGACCTTAATTCCAGTTGATAAAAACTAAATAACAACTTTTGTTGGTAGAAGCAGAAGATTGAAGGAATTTGCTGAGGGACTGACATCAGTTAGTGGTGAGAGGCAGCTTAAAAACTTTTTAACCACTTAAAAACTGCATCACAGCTGACAACTCAGTGAACTATGGGAAAACACAGTGAATTTCAAAAAGTAGTCATAAAGCTGATGCTGCAGGTGCAGGAGTCATCATTATTGGAGAGAGGTTGACCAATAATAACTTTTGTAGACTAGAATTCTAAGTAATGTAACTAAGACATGATCTTCTTTAAAGTGGACTGGGAGAGATGGAACCTGCAATCCTTCACAATTCACACACAAACACACACACACTGCTCGTCAGTCATTACAAATGAAAGAATAAGAGATGCATTATAGGCTCTGAACTGGTATATTCTAAGACCACTGCAACCTCTTATGGTGTATGCACCAGTGTGAGTCTGGATGGATTGAATCAATGCAGAGAAACGAGGCTCTTGCTCCTGAGGGTTATACTTCCATTAGTCTTGATGGAGCCCGGAACCCGAGATACAGGCGCTAATCTGTTTTGGAGGAATTAATGCCGCGAGTCGTAGACAACAGACTGAGCCAACTGCATGATGGACATTACACATCAGCAAACTGCAAAGATGCTGTGTATGCAACAAATAAAAACTGATGGGTAAACACGGCAGACTGTGTCTCCACAGAGCAGCTGTTTTAACCTAAACCTCCATGAAAACAAATCACGTTATCCACCTGAAAATATGGATCCTCTTCTTTTTTATTTTTTTTCGTGTATTAAATCATTAATTTAGTCCAATAATCGATACATTTATCAATCAAATTTTACGTTTGCTTTAATTGAGTTTGTTTATTTTGACCATTGATCTGCTTCCCATCCACTTTATTGTTTGCCAGAGACAAGAAATATCTAATAATAATTTGAGTCTGGTTTCATAAATAAACATGATGGACCTCATGACCTCATTGTCTTGAGGGCTTATAGTCCCCTGAATGGTGGTTAAAGGATTTCAATGGTAGCATGTATGTTGATGTAACATTATGTACACAGATAGTTAAAAAAAAGTGAAAACACAAACTTTTGCGCATAAACTATCTTTGTTCTAGCTACTAAAAATAAATGTATGGGGAAAACTGAATTTCAGTAGTTTAGTTAATAGTCACCCTATTGGTACATGTGCGCCACCTAGAGGTGAAAGTCGTTTCCTAAATATCAGTGTGTTCACAGAGGTTGATTCTCATTTAAACATTCAGCTGTTTAAAAGGTAAAGGAAATATATCTTTATTATATTTTAAAAGACTCACAAATTAATTTATCTCACTTAGAATTAAATAAAAACTAAATGCAGCTTCTCTGCACATGATAAAATCTGGACGCAAGAGAAATCAGTCATTTCTTAACATTTATTTCACACAACAGCAATGTACCATGAATATAATAGTCACACATCTGTTACAGCACAATTCTAACAGATTCATCCATTCACATTTTTTGTACATAATATCAAGTATATATTCCACAACATCAATATCACACTTAAGAGGTAAGAGATGGAACAATGCTTTTAACCCTCTGATATCACTCCGTCCCTTTACCGGTGTGCATGTTCCCAATAATAATTATAGCTTTTATCACCGTCATAACTGGGGGAAGAACAATGTCCCTTTCCACTCTTTGTTGCAAGTTGTAATTAAGTGCAAGTGCAGCACCTGATTGGGGCCCACTGATTTTAACCACCCCTATATGGAGTTGTGGTCGCTAAGTGCTCTTCAATCATAATATTGTTTGGGCTCTCAGGGGATTTTCCAGTGGTGTGTTTATGAAGCAAAAATCAACTACACAAATTTGTCCGGGACATGGAATGTTTAAGGGGACGTAAACACCAAGGTAGACAAAAGTATGTAGACATTAAGAACACGGGCCGTTGAATCTGCACTGGGGTTTGAGTATGTGGGAGAGGAGAGAGGACGTGAGAAACTCATTCCTCCAGGGTCCGGAAGGCGTTCTGCATGTCTTCCAGCAGCTGAGCGCAGTCTGCTTTGATTTTAGCTTCGCCATCCTTCACAGGGTCCTGAAGAATCCAGTGAACATAAACAAAGATCAGGTTATTTATCATGGGTGAAGAAAAAATGTGGTCATCTCCTGAAAAAAAACAAGGAAGTCATGTACCTTGAACTTCATGGAGCTGATCCTGTACAGGATCTCTCCCATGTTCTCCTTGATGATGGCCCACGTGATTTTGTTGTCGCTCTGTGCCGTGGACTCCACCGCGTGACGGGCCAGGTCGTAGAAAGCGATCGTGTTCGAGAGGATGCCCACAGTTTTGTAGAAGGGACAGAACCTGGGTATTGACAGAAGAATGTGTGAAGCTCACAGTTTATGATGTAAAGGAAGGATATTTAGACGTCTCCCCTTCACATCTTCTTGAGAAGCAGTTGATAGCTTGTTTAACCAAATTATTTTTTCTATTGTTTCTATGGACATCCCCAATCTAGTCTCAAACACCAATTTTTAAACTGTGTGTCGTCCCTTAAAAGGAACTTAAATCTGAAACTATTTTTTTGTTGAAAAGAATGCAAAGCTGGAAAGCCAGCTCATACATTCTCAATGGAAATGATTGATGTTCTGTGGTTGGTGAGTTGTTCTGTTTTCACCTGTCATAGGGGGTATAACCATTCTGCTGCAGGAAGTCGTCCTTGATGAGTTTAGCAACTTCAAGAGTGATCTTGTCACTCTCAGCGAGGGAGGCCTGTGAACAATAACAAGATCAGTCTCATTTATATTTTCAGAGCCATTGATTTACCAGGACAGCATGTCAACAATTTAAATAATTAATCAAATATAATCAAATACTTGAGCTACAACTTTGACAGAAATGTCTCCACTGGTTTCACACAAGAGATTAACAGTCTAAAAAAGGAAAAGAAATGACATTAACAGCTGGGCTGTTTTGTTAGTGGGTAGTGAATGTCAGTGTTTCATTTAACGAACAAACATTTTTTAGCCTCTGACCTTCATCAGATAAACTTCTCAGGACCGAGATTATGTTTCCCCGAGACAACAGTTTTTGATCAGACACTGTTTTTTGCATTAACTAAACCTAATTAATAATGATAATAATAATTTATTTTCCTGAATTTCTCAAGTTCTGTTTTTTTTTAGGTCAGATGTTTTATTTAATCATAATCTGCCAAACCTTTCCCACGAGCTGCACGATTTCAGCCAGGTCCTCCTCCTCTTGTAGAATCTCTTTGGATTTTGTACGGAGAGCGACGAACTCAGGGAAATGTTTGTCGTAGTATTCATCCAGAGCTCGTGTGTACTTGCTGTAGCTAATCAGCCAGTTTACAGAGGGGAAGTGTTTTCTCTGGGCCAGCTTTTTGTCCAAACCCCAGAACACCTGCAGAGAAGAAAACAACAAATACTAAGGCTCACTCAGAGAGATGTGCAGGAAAGAAAAAACGACTGAAGAGAGAATTACATACCTGAACGATTCCCAATGTGGCTGAAGTGACAGGATCTGAGAAGTCTCCACCAGGGGGCGACACACTAAGAGATGGTCACCATGTAAAAGGAAAAGTGAGCCTGATAATTGATCATTTACCTTTTTTGTCAGAGTTTATCATGCTATGCGGCGTACGTTGCTTATTCACTTGAAAAGGTTTCAGAGGAAAAACTCTAAATGAATTAAATGAGATCTTGAATTCAAAAACCTTTTCAAGACCCAATATTTCACTGATGTCAAACAGACAAACCAAACCAGCTTCAATCAAACCATATGCAGTAAAAACACCGTTCACCCTCAGCTTTTTTTATGTTATATGATGCTATGAGTGTAAACCAGATAGATGAAACTTGGACGTGAACCAAGAAGATGATTGTCAGTAGTTCAGTTTAAGTTTAATGAAGCCAACCTTTGATTTCAGTCCAGTAAGTGGTTAAAAGATAAGGAAAAAAAAAAAAAAAAAAAAGTTTGACCTATTTTTCCATGCTGATACAAAGAGTCAACTCACGCTCCGACGATGCTGACGCTGCCTTCTCTCTCTGGATTTCCCAGACACTTCACACGGCCAGCACGCTCGTAGAAGGAGGCGAGCCTGGCACCCAGGTAAGCAGGGTATCCGCTGTCTGCAGAGGACGACACACAGTTGAAAGCGTGTCACTGCAAACTGTCGTAGCGGCTGTCAAAACATAAAATGAATCTCATGTAGCTGAGGAACTTACCGGCGGGCATCTCAGCCAATCTTCCAGAGATTTCTCTCAGAGCTTCAGCCCATCGAGACGTGGAGTCAGCCATCATGCTCACATTATAACCCATATCTCGAAAGTATTCTGATAATGTGATACCTGCAAAGGAAGTTATATATAACACATTCAAATTCATTCAATAGATTCTCCAAAATAACATTCAAAATAGGTTTAAGTTCTTGCCATTGCTTGGAAAGAGAAATAAGAAAGGGAATTTATTTCTGTTTTCATATAAAAAATAAAATTAACAATGTTTTGCATATGTGAAGGTTTGGTACCTGTATAAATAGAAGCCTCTCTGGCAGCCACAGGCATGTTAGATGTATTAGCAACCAGTGCTGTTCTCTTCATGATGCTCTCAGTCTTTCCATCAACTTCCATAGTTAGCTGTTGGGCAAGAGCAGTGTTTTATTACAGAACATGATCTCTGGTACTCAAAGTTATTTTTATTTAGTCATAAAAATATTCCTTCTCATTGCTTATTATTCAGTTTCAAGCTCAAAAGTAGCTCAACAGTACGTGTGTGTGTATCTGCGTGTATGTATATTTGGTAGAAATCGACAAACCTCAGGGAAATCTCGCAGTACTTCAGACATTTCATTTCCACGCTCTCCGCAACCGACATAGACAATGACATCACTGTTGGAATACTTGGACAAGGACTGAGAGATCACCGTCTTGCCACATCCGAAGGCTCCAGGTATGGCAGTGGTGCCGCCCTGCACGCAACTGTAAAGCACAAAAGCCATGCAGATTTATGCAGTGTAAAGATTTCAAAAAAATCTTGAGGTGCAAAGCTTGACAATCTGAAAAAATAACAAATCCAACAGTGTTAATGATTTAGAGACATTCTTTAGCTTTGCAATGACAGACTAAAAGAAAAGATACATTTATAAAGGATTGTAAAATACAGCAAAGTTTCTTCTACAGTAAAATCAAGATTTGTTGACTCCACCACTGAGAGCCAGTTGTTTAATGTCTGCATTTACAAAGGGAAACAAAAGCATCATTTAATCTTGAGATGATGACTCACGGGAAAAGTGCATCCAGAACTCTTTGACCAGTCAGCAGCGGATGATTAGCAGGTAGTTTCTCGGTTACGGGGCGGATTTGTCGTACTGGCCACACCTGCACCATAGTGAACTTCTCCTTCACACCTTCAAATTCAAGCTCTAGAACCACATCCTGTGATGCAACAAGATCAGATCAGAAAATCGGTTTCAATGAAATCTTTTATCAAACAGAAGAGCATTTTGTTTCAGCAGAAAAAAAAAAAAAACGCTCACTGAAATGTCGTAGTTTCCTGGGGGGGCCACGTAGGTGACGGTGCCTCTGTTGCGAGGTGGAATCATCAGCTTGTGCCTAATTAGGGAATTTTCAAAAACCATGCCGTAGATATCTCCGCCTGTCATGTGATTGCCAACCTGGAGTTAAGATCATGTGAAATTAGTGAGAAGAGATCGAGGAGAGAAATCCAGGTTTACAGTGAAAATACTTGTTTCTTACCCTAAGGTTCTGGCCAGGGGAAAAGTCCCACTTGATATCTCTGTTAAGAGCGCTGATGTTTACTCCTCTCGGGATGTAGATACTTTGAGTGAGGTCATTGATATCTTTTAGTGGACGCTGGATACCATCAAAGATGGAGCCCATGATTCCAGGTCCCAGCTCTACAGAGAGGGGTTTTCCTGTTCGCAGGACAGGGTCACCCACAGACACACCGGCTGTAGCATGAAGTTAGGGAAAACAAACTGCCAGCACTTTGACACGCTGGGCTTGTCTTCAAGGTATTATGTGAAATATATTTTGGAACATGGTTTTGAGAAGACAGAGAAACATAATACAGCAGCAGGAAGGATACAAGTCTCCTCGTAGACCTGGATCGTCGCCATGTCTCCCTCTAAACGGATGATTTCTCCCACCAGCTCACTGTGACCGACACGGACAAGCTCGTACATGGCTGCTCCTGCCATCGCAGTTGCTGTCACCACTAGAAGTGGAAAACAACATTTAAAAATGTACACAAACAAAACTATTGGACTTGGACTACCTTACAACTCCAATAAACCGGCTGATACAGTGATGTGATTTGCAGACTGATGACCACTGAGGAAAACCATCGAATAATAATATATAATAATGTGTTTCTCTTTTATTTAAACAAAAAATATAAATGAGTATTTCCACTTTTTTTATGTGTAACATGGGGAATGTCACAGAAATTATGCCTGGGTGATTTTTTATATTTGTTCTATACTGTCACCAATTGTGAACAGGCTTTAAACCAAGATGCTTTTAGATTTGGATGTTGAACCACTCAAGAATTTGAAAAAATGATGATAAGTATCACGATCTGATAAATTTGTGTGGTATCACATTTCCTTGAATACTTTATGTAGTGGTCACACAGGTTTCTGGAACAAATGACTTACAGCTGCGTGGCTTATGAGACTGAACAATCTAAATAACATTGTGCACCAGACCTGGTCCAGAAACCCCATGCACATATCCAAACTGGCTCTCTCGCTCCTCATCCCGGATCTTAGGAAGTTTAGAGGTGTCCATCTTGATGGTTTCTGTCCTGAGTAGTCCCTGGAGGAATGAATGAGACACTGTCAAGTCTGATCAGAATATCAACAGCACATTAATAATAACAGACTAATGTTGCAGTAGAACTGAGTCAGATTATTCACACGCAGCACAGAGGGATGACTGGATTTATGATCCACCATAACACGGTGTCAGTGAACTGAACCTCCAGGTCCAGCAGCGTTAGCGCGGTGAGCTAAAGCTAACTCAGCAGAGGCTTTAAAACCAACCCTCCGCTGTTTCCCCCCCCAGTGTTGATGACAACACGTTTGGATGTCGTGTCGTCGACTGCGACATGTTTTACACACAGACAGCAGCTTCGTGTTACCGAACACAAGTCCGGTTGAGAGTAAAGCCGATTTGTGCGGATGAGTCATGTGACTAGCTAGCAAACATTAGCCGTCTTCTTCATCATCATGTCCTGACGCGCTCTGAGCTAAATGCGCTGACAGCAGCACGGTGCTTGGTCCAGGTGTTAAACACCACACAGCTCCATGTCCCACACAGGTCCAGTAAATGTCTCACCTTGTCTTCAGATGTCCAGGACTGTGTGTACCGAGGAGGAGGAGCAGCGTCACTCTGCTGATCACCTGCTGCCACCGGAACTGTCACGGGGAGAACGCGTCACCATTGTGGCTCAACGGGATCCGCCGCTCTGCGTTCTGTTGAACCAACATGGCGACCAGGACTCTGCAGTTTCCTAATCGACGATGAGCTCCTCCGGTCTGCACACGGTCTACAGGTGCACTACTGACTCCTGCTGGACACAAAGGGAGCCTCCACCTCTGTTTACAAACTGAATTCAGCATGTAACATGTAATAATCTATCTATCTATCTATCTATCTATCTATCT